TACATACATACATACATACATACATACATACATACATACACATACATACATACATACACACACATACATACACATACATATAGTACACACACGCACAATACAAATATTCAAAAAAATCTGTGCATTTCCTGGGGGCTAAGCCCCCCCTTGTCATTAAAACCTAGTGACACCCCTGTTTACTTAGTTGTTAACTAATTGTTTGCAAGTTAATATTGCCTTAATGATCAGTGATTTAGAATAAAACGCGAACCTGTAAAACATAACTTTTGTGCTGGTGCACCAGTGCGACCTGTGCAAGGAAGGCTGGAGCCCACAAAACACATCCGACAGATGTGCCTAAATAGATATAAAAGCTCCTTAAGAGAAGCATTTATAAACTCAGACATTTCACTCATACCACTGGTTTTATGTGCAAAAAACTCTTTTCAACAACTGTATTAGTACCGGTGTTGAAAGGTTTAACCTTTAGTTATTTGCTGTTGTTGCCATGATAGAGCTGTTTTTAACTTCGAATATGTTAGTTAGCATCAAGTTAGCATGGTGTTGAGTTACAAACTACAGTAATAAATAACACTTTAAACGTTTATAAAGCACAATGATACGGAAATATGTCTTTACACACTTACTTCAGAGTGTTTGTATAAACTAGCTGCTAACATCATGACATTGTTTAACTTCAGCTAACTTATGCAAACCTGAGCTAGCATGTTGGACCACTTGTTGCGCTTACTTCTGAGGAGCGGCGACGTTTCCTTCTTCACATATTTCCCGTGAACCTCGGCTGGTTTCGACGCTTCGTTTTTGCTTTTCTTTCGTGAGAGCATAACTCAAAGATGGGAGACATCAACAACACGGCTCTGCGAGGTCATGACACGATCCTTGGAAGCCGCTGCCGTTCTCCCGGTCCGTGAACACGGAGTGGAAAGTTATCATTTTCTGCTGTTAGCGGTTAGCTAAGCTAACCGATGCTAACATAAAGCCACTGGGAGCGACCGTGTGTTATTGCCGCAGCCCAGTCCCTCCGCTCGGCCCGGGCAGCGCCACCTCACCGGGGCTCAGGGGTTGGGTGTTTCACAGTCCTCCCTGTGGGATGGCACGCCCCCTGCAGGACAGCAGTGGAACTCCTTCAAAGTAGACTTTTAATATCGAATTATAATATTAAATAAAAATCGGATAATATGAAGAAAGTCAGAATTCTGAGAAAAACTACTAAAAAATACAAAATAAAACACACACACACACACACACACACA